TTATTTTAAAAAATGAAAGTCTTCACTTACACGGAATATAATTATAGGTCTATTATAATAGGCATTACCAAAATAGCTTCAGAACACTTTTTATTTCAAACAATCCAGAATGCATTTCAAAGGTATGATGATCTAACTAAAAATACAATTTCAAAATTAGCAGGTGAAGAATAAAAGCTAATTTATTTTTTTAAAAGAGTCATTGTGATTTCATTTTGACTATTTTGCCTTCTTTCTGAGTTAACATATCTAATGATACAGCTCCAAAAAGACAATTAAAATGCTTAGCCAATTAATCCAGTATTAGTAACTTAATTATCTTAAGAAAACTATGGAGTCCTGTAGTCTTCATATTAATATTCTCCATATTGCTAGCATAATACTCTTTTCCTTCTTTGCTTCTTAAAGAGTTTATCACCAGTGGCTGTTTCCCCTCATGGAGAACAAGGATTGCACAACCGTGAAAGCTATCTTACCAACTAAAGGAGCAGGAGGAATAAAATATTACTTGAATGTGATCATGGTTATCAACAATTAAAAAACACTTGGATAAAAGTGTCACCCTGCTTTCCTCAAATGTTTCAGAGTATAAATGAACGAGAAGGCTTCAAAAAATTCGGAGAAAAATGACATAATCTTTCAACTCCATTTTCCATGAAATTTTTGAAGGTCCCTTGTCCATTTGGCAAGGTCAACTCCTTTAGGGACGAGATGAAAGTGAAAGGAAGAACCCCAGCGAATGATTTAATTTCCATTTTTAGTGAACATAAAACGGAGAGATGAGAAAAGTTGTAAAGAGTTCTAAGTTGACTTTGAGGTATAAAACAAACATGAAAATGTAACATTTTCTTTGGTAATACTTAAGGACTTCAAGTCATTTCCCCTTTCACTTGCCATTGTTTTCTGCTAAAAATTATTTTTGTTTTTCCTTAGTGGAGAACTATAAAAATGTAACTAAAAATTTAAAAATAAACACCTGACAAAGAAAGTTTTTAGGTCTGATTGCTTATAATTGATTAGGAGTACCTTTTCCTGGCTAAAGAGGAAAAAAAAGTTCCTTATAGACAAACTGTTTAAAGAATAATGAATAATTTATTATGGGCCAACAATGTCTTATAGGCACAATTCCAAAACATCTGTAACTCTAAAGTTGAGTATTGGTTCTACTGACACACAATGAAGCTCATTGGGTGGTAGGTAAGCCCGGACATAACAGGAGACAAAGCTATTTATAATCATTATGTATCTTACTTAGTGTGAACATTCATTATATTTTGTTGGCAAGATTATTAATGGCCAAGACCCTGTTGATGTGTTTGTATACTGTATCTACCGTATTTTTCTAAAATCTGAGACATTCTGAATGTTAATACATATATGGTCCTAGAAGTTTCAGATAAGAGATGTGGACCTGTATCAGGGATCTCATATAAACTTCATGTAAATTGACTAGCTTTAAGATTAAAATAAAAATAAACAAATTATTTTATACTGTGTCTTTGGCTACTAGTAAGATTTGATCATTTATTCCCAATTAAAAAATGGTAACGTGTTTTGGTTTATTTAAGAACTAAAGGGCCCCACATTCAATATAATGTCTGTGCATACGTCCTCCATCACACATGTTACAGGCTACTATATAATCTATATAGCAGAGCTCTTACAGCATCAAAGAAGCTTAAGAATTAGGTCTAGATTTGTTCATTAGTATGGATAACAATGATAGCATATCAGCACACAGTAAGCACTAAAGAACAGTAATTTACATAATTTCATTTACTGTGGGACTCACCTTTTTTTGGGGGGGGGAGGGGAGTATTAAGCTCAATGACACAGAAATAGAAAACTGTTAAGCTTTTCAGCTTCTAAAAGCAGCCCACATAAATTACAACATGAAGAATTCAAGTCAACCATAATAAAAGTCATAATACAGCTTATATAATCAACATCTAAAAGAATGTTTAAAACTCTAAAATATAAACATACAGACATCTCAAAGCATTAGCTTTACATTTCTCTAATTAAATATGCCTAAATAAACGACACAAACCATGCAGGAGGAAAGAAGAGAAAAAATTCATTTACGTAATAAGAAAGCATAGAGAAACCATGTCCAAGGCACATACTGACCTTCTTTGGGCTGAGCCACAACTGGAGTCTGAGTTTCCTTTGTGTATGTGACAATCTCTCGAGGAGGAAAGTCAACTTGTGTAATTTTCGCCATTCCCAGTTTAATAGGTCCTCTTCTACATGAAGGGAATACAATGCTTTAAAATACAACAAGTGATACAGTTTAACTACATCAAACCAGGTTATATTGGAAAATTAAGAATGAGACATGCACATACATCCAACATTGTAATTTAAATCCTTAATTTAAGAAAGTTTTAATGAGCAACGAATTGGCTTTAACACAAGAATTAGAAGGTAGCAAAAAAAAAGAAAAAGGCAAACCAAACAAAAGGCATTTCTGAATCATTCAGGGTGTTTACTTTCCACTCTATAAAGGTAAATGATTCCGTTTCTTAGAGCACATGTGTGAGTGGTACTAGAGCAAGAAGCAGGAATTTCTACGGGGACAGTTGGCTATGGTTGGTCCTGAGGACTATTTTCAGGAGCATGATATGACTTGACTTGTTTTTGACAAGTCAGAAATCTAGATCTCATTTTGACCAAGTTTTGTGCTCTTCAACAGATGTTTATATTAATTTGTTTTAAAACTTTAGTTATATCATCACATTTCTCTACCGAGGAAAAAAATAAAATAGTACTAATTGTAGAAAGCCCAGAAAGTCATTGAAAACCATTTTTTCTACTTCTTATATTGCATAGAAATTGAGAGTTGTATTGTCAATTTAGATTTTAAAGTAAAATACTAAAAAATTTCTAATCTCCCTGGCTAATAGTCTCCTTGTTAGTGGAAAACTAAGGAGCAAATATATTTAACCTAAGCGAAAGCAACAGATATTTTGAATATAATAAAGCTCTTAAAGCCACTTTTGTTTTAGTTAGAGAGGGAATAAATTATTGTTATTGTTGACAGATGGAAGGAACAGAATGGTTATGGCCGAGGAAAATGGACTGAATGAAAGAGTTCTTAATAGATATCTGAGTGATCTTTTCTTGGTCATTATATTAGATGCTTAAATTCTAAACCAAATAAAGTATGCTTCCAAATTCCCATAGAACTTTTCAAATAAGAATCTGCCTTATAAGGATATCCAATATCCACTGTTAAGCTTCTAAACTATCAAGCAGGAGATCTAAAACATAAGTATCACTGGTAAGGTATTAACTGTTCTTCACACAATAATATCCTTTTCAATTTAGTAGCTATCTCAAAAATCCTGTACTCAGAACTATAAAATTAGCACATTTTAAATTAATTTTTTAAGGTTCCAAATGTGGGCCAAAAAATTTCTAATGTGTTTTCTTAGAGAAAATAAAAAGTATCCTGAAAGAATTAAATGAGATATTTTACGAACATTTAGAATAATCTGGTATTCTAAGAATAAAAAGAGTCTTAAAGCTTTATAGTTTGATTTGCAAGATGTGTACGATATGAAAGGAAGATCACTCACATATCTGAGCAAAAAAGATCAAGCCAACAGAATCAGGACCAACTTACTAATATGTACATTTAAGCTCTAATGGACAAACATCACAACATTAAAACACTGAAACATATATGACAGGATTTACGGGTAGCAGGGTAGGGAGAAAATACCTCACTTATCCAAAAGCCACCTTTACAGAGAATTAAGGAAGCAATGGGGGAAAAAGCCTCAGGGCAGCCAATTGAGAGGCTTTGCAGTTAATGTATTAGCGGATCATATGCTTTTCTTTTATGTCCTAACTTGACCTATTTACTCTTGCTTTAAACACAGTTCCAATGGGTCTGGTCATATGGTTTAGAAGCTGCAAATTATCAGGGGGAAATGAGCTAGCTGAGCCTGGTACAATGGCAGCAACCACCATTTATAATTTGCACTAGAGGTAAGGATATGTGACTGAATGAATGGAGAAAGGGATAAATGAACAAACAAACAAACAGTCAGGGGCTAGAGTGTAGAGATCAATAGCTCTGCCCCTCTCAAAACTTTATAAAGTATAGGTTAATTTTACTATTGGAAAGCAAACTAATAGATCAAATGACCCAAAAAAAGGTTCAATTATATGTAGACTGTGTCAGAAATAATCTGGGAAGTTTGTTATACATCTTAGAAAATCTTACATTGGAAATACAGAAATAATGAAAGGACCTTGGGTACTTAAATGGGTAGACTCAGGACATCTAGAGAATCAGATAGGTAGATTACTTCTTTCACTTATAATAACAGGATAAATGAGGTGTCAAATATAACTTTTCCCCCTAGCTATATGCTATACATTAGAAGTGTAAGCAAAGTAAAATTAGGACAGTTTCACAAAGAATCAAATTAACCATGAAAGAGGGAAGGTAATAAATCTATTCAATACCCCAAATCGGAATCTGAGTGAAGCTGGAGAACTGATGGGTCTGTATCCCAATGCAGCGTCCTAAATGGTTGTAGGACAACCACGAAGCATTAGCAAAAAAGGCCATAAGTTAGTCAAGCAAATATAGTCTGTGAACAGCTAAAGCTAAAGTACGGTTTACAATTAAAAACGACATATCTTGTTAGTAAGAAAACCACAAACTCGCAAGTATCACTCAATGTTTTAGTGCATGCACTAGGCTTAATATGGTTAAACATACAAGCATATAATCCAGAAAAGTAAAAAGACTTAGTGCATATTTTTAGAGTATGGAAAACTAATATTGCATGATGGATAAGGACAACTAAAAGAGCTAACAGTCCAAACATGCTATTTATAAACCATAATAAGCTAGGATAAACACACGTTTAAATTTCCTAATGAAAAAGAAATCCATGAACAAATCTTGCTCAGCATCTTGTTATCTTGCCCAAAGCATTAAATATGTGCAGGAAATTGTCATATTGGTAAAGGAAATGAGTCAACACATAAGCTTTTCGGTAAGAAAACCAAAGACTATTCCACTGGGATACAAAATGGCTAAAGTTTCCAAAATGTGACCCTTCTGTAATTTATGGGTTAAGCACTGCCTTGGGCTTACATGTCATCTGCTTTAAAAAGCAACTAAAGATTTCTGTCTCTAGGAAAAAATAGATTTTTGTTTTACAAAAAACATTTTATGTTCAAAGGATTTACTTTAACTTGTAGTCTTCAGGAGAATATCAATTCTGAATGAACGATCAGTTGTGCTTCAGCCTTGCCTACTGGGTAAACAACTTCCAGGGGGTGGAGTCTTGCCCAGTTAGGTCGTCTCTAGACATTGCTAGAACAAAAGGCACTTTTCCACATTGGCATTCTTATATGTTAGCAACATAAAAATAACCGTACAGTACTGCACAAGAGTGTTTTTTTTGCAATGTGAAAAGTCCATAAGCACAATGTATTTAGTACCACCATTTTGGTCAAATATGTTTTTCTCACATAAGATATACACTTCAATATACAATTAAAACTGCCACAATGTTTTAATTCATAAATAGATTTCTCTATTTTACCTGTGTGTACAATCTATCAATAAACAATTGCATGAATTAAACTAGGTAAATCCTTCACTTAAAAATAAAAAGAAACTCCTGGAATTTATATCGGAGTGTATGTATGTAATGAATGAAGAAGCTAACGTGAAGATCTATTTTGTACTAACGAAGAGCAACAAACTTGAGCTTTGTGAAACAGAAGGGGTTCTGTGAGATGCTCTCCAAGGAATGTTCTGTCCACAGCCTTTACCATTATCTGAGAGCCCTAGCTGTTACCCGGGACATAGATTAGTTCCTTGTTGAAGATGTCATGTTAGTTTAAAATCAAGTAAGACCTAAAAATGCAGGCAATACATTGAAGAGTATAGTTATTAATGATATTTGCAGACATAAAGTAAAATTCCAATACAATTCCAAATCCTGAGAAATAAGCTGATTAACAACAGTAGAAAAAGAATCGAAGGCACGGAATATGCCTGCCATTTAGAGTCTGTTAGAGGTGACAGGAATGACTGGGAAGCGCAATGAAATACAACTTTCTAATAGGCAAAGTTAGAGAAATACCAGATCGCATGCATTGGCCTTTATATTTATTCACAAGTTACCATCAGGACCAACAGAAAATCTTGGCACTTAAAAACACTGGCTCAGACATGTTTAGACAACCTATTTGGTAATGTCTAATCTATCTTTTCTTACTCCCTATGTGTACTAAACCTAGACTGTCTGGGTCAAGTAATGAAGCTGAGTGTACAGGCTCCTATATCTCGCACATATTTTCTGTGATATACCTTCTTCTCTTTGTTCTTTCCTGTTATCAGACCTACTCAATTCAAGTTTATTCTTCTTCGTTCTTAGTCTCTAGTAATTGTCTTTTAAAATGTCATGTAATTAGAAATGCTATTACTTTCCTGCCAATATCACCATTAGCAATATTAATTCTCTCTGCACTATGGAATCTGGAAATGATTTTGTGGAAACAGTTTCCTACACACAGAGACAAAAAGAATGCACTCGGCTCTCTCCAAAAGTAGTGTTTTAAATGTACGTCGGCTCTCAAAGGAGAGAAACCAGGCATGTACTATGATTAAAAAGATACATGGTCACCTCTTTCAAGATAGGACATTCCTCCCCCTCTTCAGTTAAATACAGAAGAAAATTTAACAGTGTATTCATTCTCTAATAAGAATAAATCCTTAAAAAAGATATTAAACCTTCCGTTTTACTTTATAATTTATAGTGAAAAAAAAAAACAACAAAAAACCTATATGCTACTCTCAGAAATTTTCTATAAAATGAACCATATCTTTAATCACATAAGCACTAGAATGTAAGGTCTCTGAAGGCCAGGGCCTGAACATCTAACTTTTTGTGGTAACAGTAGTTAAAACAAAGTGGGCGATTCAATTAGTATTTTGCACTATACATCAATAAATATTTTTAAGAGGCTTACTCCCTGCTCCAATTGACAATATTCCAAAGTGCATTTACAATTTACAATATTCCAAAACTAATCTCTGTGGCCTATACAATTCAGGATAACACGAATTTAAAAAATCAGGTGTATGTTACATAGCACTTTTAAAAGCTAATTTTACATTAAAATAACCTTCCTACTCCTATTAAAATTCAGAAACAGTCTAGAAATGAACAAAGTATAGTATCAAGATAAAAGTAATATCCAAAGCAAACAAAAGAAACCTAATAAATGTAATAGTTTTTTAATTTTGTTAAACATTTTAATCATAATGCTGCAAAAGGAAGATAAATCTTTTCTTTGAAAATAGCACTTAGTAACATATCTACCTAAAAATACACAGGTATAAAACAAATATAGTCCTAAAATAAACATTTAGATTAAGTAAATCCAGTCTGCAATATATATTATTTTATAAGGTGATGTAACATTATTTGTAAACAGAACATTTTTGATTTTTTTTTCATTTTTGATTTTTTTAAAGCGCTTTTGTCATTGATTTCCAACAATAGTACTGCTTAACTTGGCAGGGTCTGTGATGTGGGCTCTGTGCACAGACACAGATTTGGAAAGCACATCTCAAAGTCAACCGGGGAGCCTTTCGGATCTTCTCACTGTCCACCCTATTCTGATTATTCAGGGATCGATTAAAGTGTGGAGCGCGTGAATCACGCTGCTCCCCGCCCTGCTTCCTGCTTCTTGTCTTCTCTCCTGCATACTCGTTTCTTGTTTGCTTGTTTGCAACTTTAATCAGAGAGCACAGCACAATAAAGAGAAAACTTTTCTCAGTTTGCGTCACTGCTTTTTAAAGGTATGTTATGAGATAATGGCATTTAACTTAACTGGCCCCAAATATGCACTCTGCAACAGCTGTGAATTTTAACTAGCTCTGTGTAATCTCATTTAAATTGCCATAAGAATTTAGGAAGTATGGTGCTATTAAAGAAACACTATTCCCATGTGAACAAGTACAACGAAGAGTAAGTTATACTTTGTCCAATATGCCCTTTAGAAGGACGTTAAATTCTTCCTGGACTTTTGAAATGAAGTGCCAACACGTGTACAGGCTCCTAAAATGAACCTGAACTATAGCTGTACAAGGAAGATGCTATTCAGGAAAACTTGGCAGTACACATGCTTAGTGTCTTTAACAATTGTTTAATGTTGGTATTTTATGCACTATTATTTTCCCTTAATTAGCAGAACTAGTGATTTAACAGAACAGAATTGGACTGCTTAACTGAATTGTTTAGCTCTTCAACTACTGGATGGGTAATTAAATTAAACAGAGCAGAGGTTTTGCACTACTAGAGGGCTTCAAAAGTTTGTGATAAATTCCATTAAGCTTAATTCCATTTTTCCATGAACTTTTTGAACAATCTTCCCCTGTGTTTATAGCTAAAACACTCAAATAATGACTAGTATCAAGTAATCTTAAACGAAATAATTTCAAATACATTAATACTTTTTAATTGAATAGAATTTGCATAGATCAGTTAACTATTCAGTACTAAGTTGAATCAAGTGTGATAGTTAAAATATTGTACAAATATTTTCCCCTCAATTTACAATAGCCAATTTCCCTGTCACTTAGATTTTAAAATGTTAGAATGAACTCAATACAACTTTTAAAGAGTCCATAGCATGGGCTCAATGCATATCCCATCGCTGAAACAGTAAAGGGAAAGGACTGTACCTAGATCCCACGGCGCCGTCTCCAGAGTCTTGGCTTCCAGCTTCGCTTGGGGTGCTCACAGATTTGGAGGATGGAGACATAGGAGGAGGGACTAAATAGTGAAATAGACAGGTATCCGCTGTTACTACACGGAGAGGTTGCTCAGCTTATGAAGTTTCAAAAGTAATTTGACATGAAGTAACAAAAGGGAAAAAACAAAAAGGCAAACCAAAAACCAAAAATAATACATGAATGAAAATGAACAGTAGAAAGAAGAGGGAAAAGACACAGTTAACAATGCATGCTGAAGATTCATGCACTTTCTCTGGCAAAATGCATTTAACTTTATATTAAAAAGGGGGGTGGGGTGGGCAGGACTATGGAAGAATGCATCTTCATCTCACCCATCACCAAATGTGGGCCCTAATTTTCAGAGGACAGCATTCCTTCTCCTCTAACTTTTTATTTTTAAGATCACCAGATGATCCGTAATATTAAAATATGCCAAAATTAAAACTCTGAAGTACACTTTAAGTCATTTAATCTCTGGTTTCCTGGCATCTCTTTTAAAATGTCAATCTTTATCCAACAATTTCTCTTTCAAAACTTAAATGTTTGAAATGATTTTATATTCTCCCCACCAAACAACAGGTCAATTTAGAGAAATGACTGCCACTAAAGGAATGACTCCTCTAAAATGTCTATTAGTTCCAGAAATTTGGGTGAAAAATGCAAACAGGCCATCCCCAACGAGCCTTCTAGACATGCGGAACGTAAAGTGATGCATGCAATGTCAACCAGGCAAGACTTATGGGAACGTCCTTACCCCAGTATTCAGAAAAAACTGGAGTGTACAGACAAAGATACAGACACCCAAGATAGTCTTAATCCCTTCTTATAGAAAAGTACACAATTCTCATAGTATATAAAACAAACAGCAAGTGTTTCCCCCTACACCGTCAACTTCTAACAGTATGTAACAGTTAAACGTGCATATTTCATGCTATTACATTTATAAAACTTTGATTACCATTGCAGGGAGTAGTGAAGGATCATCACTGCCATCTCCTGGTTAAATTTTACCATAAATGTCCCCAATCCCAAGTTATCTTTTAAAAATAATTTTTCAATGTACAATATTAAATTGCTAATATATCTTGTGTTGAGCTGCAAATCCTTCTTTTCACAGTCTACTCAACCAGAGTTGAGTAGTTATATAAGAACGAATCTAATGAAAAGCCTGAGGTTTTTGAATACTCAGTCACTGACCCATTAAAGTCCAGTTTCATGTTTACACATGCTGCGGTCAACAGTAGGTTTGATAATCTAACAACATGTGCAGCTATAGTGGGTTGAAAAGAAGTATAAAACTGATGACCCACATTTTTTCAGAAACAAATTCTCAGTAAACTTTCACCCAATTAGAGTAAAATGTGAAAAGAGAAAAAATAATGCTAAGATTAGGCGGTGTGGGGGTGGGTGAGGGAATCATAGCTAGGATGCTCCATTTCTGAGATAAAACAGTTAATTCTTGCTTAAATTTCAAAGGACTATACAAACACCGCTATCTGTTTTCAGTTTTGTGGTTTCATCTCTCAAAAACAGGAGCACAGATCACATCACAAAGAGATCAGATATGGAAAATACTGTGCTAGGCGCTGTGTACACACAACTCAAAGCAGCTAAAAATGTCTTCTATCTGAAGTGAAAAATATTAATAGTCCCTAGCTTTTCTTAGGGTACATTTCTTCAGCTTTTATCCTTCTTTCACTGTGAGGTTTCTCCGAGTCTTAATCTTTGACTGATGAAGGAATAAAGAACATCTACCACCTGTTGGCTGCCCACTGCATTGCACGTGAGAATAAGTGTTTGTGAAGTTACTGTGAGGAATCATAATGCTTTCACACTAGAGAATCTCAAATGAGAAATTTTGCATCTTAAAAATTACATTTAAAATTTTATATTTCAGAAAATGTTTCTGTCAAGTGTGGTAAGCAGTAGAAATATTCCAATGAAACAGATTACTAGCACTGAATTATGTACAATTCATCTCCAGTTTAATATCTCTCTGCCCCCTTTCCGGTGGCTTCAAGTATCAACAAGTCTACTCAGATTCGATAGCATCTTACTTGGGTAAGGTTGCAGTTAAGAGAATATGCCATCTCAAATGCCTATGGAAACAGGCTGAGTAATAATAAGACATATACAACTACATTACCCTAGTCAGTTTTGAAATAAAAAATTCAGGAATAAGTTTTCGTTTGATAAAAGTCTCCATATCCCAGAACTCATTTCTACTGAAAATTGAGAGGATGCATACAGGGCTCTTGGTTATCATCTGGCTCACCAACTTCATCTTGCAAGAATGGTAGATCACACAGAAGGGACAAACAAGGAAAAAGAAAATTGTCTTGAAAAAGGAAGGCTGCTGATAACGAAAAGAGGATGGTAGCTGTCATTCTGTGACTAGTGTAATTCAATCCAATTAATCTAGATAAATCACAGAATAAAGTAATTGTAAAATAAGGCAATGCCACTATACTCCCAGATTTCAACAAATGATCTGGGGGGTTGTGGGTAGGGAGGGGGCACTAAAGAGTGCATTTAGAGAAGTAAAAATTTGAGCAATGTATCAACTCTCAAATCTCAGAAATTATAATTTATTTTATGTATGATTTAAGGGAATAATTAATTAACTATGGAAATAACATAATCCAGTCATAATTAACCTTTGCCAACGACCTGCGATATGACTTGCTTAAAAGAACAGCGATTCTAACAGAATAACCTTCACACTAGTTCTGTATATAAAAGCTCAAAACCAGGCTTTAAGTTGTATAAAATAAAGGAAGTTATATTAGCACAGGTGAATATATGAATGAACCTAAGTTTTTTAGAAGTTAAAGCAAAGATATCTATTTGCTTCTTTGAGACCTAAGGGGGAGGGGGCAGGGGGAAATAATGAAGTGAACCGGAAACCAAATCTATACAGTGGCATCCACAGGCCATGTAAGTAATTCTGAAGGGCTGTAATCATTCATTTTCTAGGACAAAATGCAACCTAAAGGGTCTTTCCTGTCAGTGTAGACCTTAGTTTTCCAAGGATGCACACTTGGTGCTGCCTTTTGCATAAGCAACTACTATGCTTTTAAACATGGGAATACAGCTACTCAGGACCTACACACAAGTTTCAGGGATAAAAGATGGTGAAGGGCCCAGCTGCCGCCACCACCATCACCACCACATCACATCACATCATCATATTTAATGCATATATGTTGCTTTTTATTTTTTTAAGAAGGGTCTAGCAAGAATAAAGTCAAGGGAAATTACTGTGGTGTGTGGAAGGGCTGGGAGAACCCAGTGAAATGGAAGGAATGTGCTTCCAGATAACCAACTTTGTAAGATTTCCTTTACCGCATCAACTTGACACTTGGGTACTCCAACACAACCCACGTTACAATAACGCCCCCTTGTGGATGTAAGGGCTCCTAGCCTGGAATAGTAATTGGTTTTTCAACTTTCTATGTTATTTTGAAGGTCATTGATCTAAACTTAAATTCTGTGAAACATTAATTTGTCCCTCTCCTATAGGTTTTTCTACTGGTTCCAAAGCCAAACCAAACTCACTTCTATCTGATTTCTATTCTGATTCATAGTGACCCTATAGGGCAGACTAGAACTGTCCCTGTGGGTTTACGAGACTGTAAATCTTTATAGGAGCAGACAGCCTTATCATTCTCCCTTGTAATGGCTGATATGTTTAAACCACTGATCTCTTAGTTAACAGCACAACACTTAACCCACATTACCACCAGGCTTCTTACTCTTATTTTAAAAAACCTCATTGCCACCAAGTGAATGTTGACTCTTTGTGGAAACCATCTGTGGGTTTCAGAGACTGCAACTATTTATGGGAATAGAAAGCCCAGTTTTCTCCTGAGGGGCTGCTGGCGACTTTGAACTGCCGCCCATGTGGATCACAGTCCAACACTTAACCACTACAACACCAGGGCTCCTTCTCTTCTCATAGGTAGGCACAAAAGCTTATTCCTTTGAACTCAATATCCCAAATGAATAACTAATGGCAAAAATGTCATCCTATTAATTAATGAAAGAATCAGTTTTTACTTTTTCTTTCACATAATGTATTTTAATGGATATTTGCAAGTATCTGAATTTGACATAAAATATAATTTTTCTTACTTCATTTTCATGTTAACCAAAAGTATAACCTTTTTAAAAAATTAAGAGAGCTGCTTACTTTGACAAAATAAGTAATATCAATGATTATCTACCGTTCTTATGTACCAGAGCAAGTACATAATTTAAGTAAGAAAAAGAACATTGGTTTTAAGCATTTGAAGAAGCAAATTAAACTGAAATGTAAATACTGTTATACTATGAAAGCACTACAAAGAACCAACAATATCTTTCATGAAACAGCTCATAAAATTATGCTCTGCACCAAACTAAACCCACCGGCACCGAGTCAGTTCTGCCTCATGGCTACCCTGGAGCCAGAGTACAAGCAACTTGGTGACATGGAAACCTTCTATTTAAAAATCCTAGTCTGAAATATTCAAAATATTGCAAATTTCTGGGAAAGGGGAAAATGAATACAAATGAATACATATCTTGACTAGTAGTTTTTAAAATATTTTTAAAGCTTTTTCTAAAATAAACTTTCTTAAGAATGGCCGTGAGGGAGCCTCAAAGGCTGCTTAGTAGCCATCCAATGGTCTCTCTCAATCCAGAGGAAAGAAGGATGATGAAAATTGAAAGATACATGGAAACAATTAGTTCTATGGAACAAAGGACCATCCAAACATCATTCTCCACAAACCCCAAAACAAAGTGAACAAGATTGTACCCAGCAACTACCACTACTCTGGAAAGGATCACATTAGAAGGTACTGGATAGAGTGGGAGAAAAAATGTAGAACAAAACTCAAAATCATTTAAAAAAATCAGGCTTATTAAGCAGAAAGTGGCAAGCTGGATGACCAGGATGACGGCCCTTAATCATCTTCAGGTCTGGAACTGAACTCACTTCTGTGTTAGAATAACCATTCACTGAAGTTCAAAATCCATTTCCGCACACCGGGGCAGAGGAGTGGCTACAGGGAGCACAGAGCGGAAGTGCGATGTAAGTGATGGACCATT